TGGCACTAGCTGGGGGGTCAAAGGGTTAGAGTGGGGGTAGTTCACTGGGGGCGGCCCGTGACCGATGGAGGTCTGGGAGCCCACCCTGCTGAGGCGCGGCGGGGGTCCTGTGGAGCTGTGCAGGTTCTGAGCGTCCTGCAGGTCAACTAGAGAAATGCTGCGGCCGTTGGGCAGAGGGTTTTCTCGCTCTTCCTGGTCAGAAAAGCTGGTGTGGATGGAGGGATGCTTCTGGGCCAGCAGGGGGCGCTGAGCTCGACTGTAACCCTCCATCAGTTCAGCAGACTGCAGACTGCGAACTTCGCTGTGGCTGCAGGAAATTAGACAGGAGCAGATCAGCTTCACACCACAGGAAGTAAAACACAGCAGTGACTTAAGGGTTAAAGTTCAAATCGACAGGTCCATCTTAATTTACACCTTTGACTTTTTTTTCCAATTATGTTGTCAGTTCAGGGATTCAAAGATCTAAAAGGTTTAATGAGAAGGGCCGTTCACAAAGTGCAACGATAATCAGGTGCTATTTCAACAGTTGCTGTCGTTTCAGCTTCTCTTTTAAAACGAATCGCAGTTACAATTCTCTCAGTTCACAACGGATCAGGACCAGAACAAACTCGACCACTCGATTCATTTGGTTCTGTCAGCTGATTGGTTACCTGTCACTGGGGTCCTCAAAGATTCGCTGTAACCCTGATGACAGGCTACCGCTGATGTTGTGGGCGGAGCTGTGGTCCTGGAAACGTCGCAGCTGCTGCTGCACCGGCGTTGGAGTGGCCAGACAGCGGGAGATGTCTCCCAGAATCCTCGGCAGTGGACCCAGCTTCGCTACAGTGGCCTGCAGGAAGGAATTTTCACCCTGGGGTTGTTGTGTGTGTGTGTGTGTGTGGTTTGAGTGGAAGCACCAGGATGCAGTGGTGGTGGTGGGAGAGCAAAACCAAAATGGTAGCAACAGAGAGTCGGCCAGACAGGAAGTGAACAGAGGAGGGAGGAGGGGGGGGAGAGATGGAACAAAACATGAGGGAAACTTAACAGAAACAAAAGTCAAACCAACTAGAACGACATGCTTCTAGTGAACACAACCAAAACCAGCAGAAGGCTGAGACTGAGCCCCGACAGGTGAGGCAGGTGAGATGCAGTGGGAGGGGGAGGGAGGGGCGTGCTGGAGGGGGTCCTGGGACGGGACAGGTCAGGCCATGCTGTGATGTTCAGCCACACACAGTTAATGTGGTTAAATGAACTGAAACGACCTCTGCTCCCGGTGTTCATTCATGTTACATCATCAAGTGTTCCCATCATACACACCAGACATTCACCAATCACTGATCAATAACAGCAGTCAGGATTTCATCTGGTTTTCAACAGATGAAATCAGGCCTCATCTTGATCAGAAACCCTGAGAGGGCAGCGCCTCCCTCTGTCCCAGGAGTACAGTGACAAAGCCTCTCAGTGTTAGCGAGCGTTCATTGATCCATTTTCCAATCCACAATCAATCTGAACAAGTGTCAGACTGTTACAAATAAATACAGCTCATCCCAGTCGATGTCAGTGTATCTGGTGATAGTGCCACTAAAATCTTCCTGTGCAGATAAATGCTGAAACAGACCAACATCCACTGCTAAATGTGTGTGGACTGCGTCACATTCGCAGACCTGCCAACCGGGAGCAGCCTCTGCGTTCCAAGCCACCGGGGTAGGACTAAATTTGATCCTGCTCTGAAAATGCACGTCATGTGATGTGCAGTTATTCATCTGCGGATGCCTGATGACCAGTGTCAGTATGAGTAACGGCACTGCACAACAGGGGAGTCTGGTAATGTGGAGACTCGGCATCTCTCAGTAACTTTACAGGAACGTTTTCAGCCAGGATGCTCATTACAGTTACAAGTTGGGCTGCAAGAATTAATATTTGTAATTGCTTACAATGAAAAGTCACATTTAACCATCTGCGACACATGGGTGATGTAACTTAATTTGCTAGCTGGCTTGCATATAGATAAACACACGTAACATTAGGCTAACAACTAAAATCACAGCCTCTGCTGCCCACGTGCCCCCAGTCCATTCACCTTTTTAAAGGAGCCATCTTCACTTGAGGAACCAGCCAACCAGAGTGAGGAGCAGTCCTTGCTACTGTCTCCTGAAATGACATCAAAGCTATACACCTGTCAATTATTCCCAAACCCGGCGCTACGACTGGACAAGCGCTCCTCCTTTTGCTTTTCGGCAGGAAGACCTATGTCTGTGAGGTTAGACGCTCGTTGGGGTAGATTTTAATGTTACTGCACAACAGGTCAAACTAGCTTTTTGTGTACTTTAGAGTGATAAATCGTTGGCAGGTCTGCATTCGTCTCCCATCCACAAAGGCGTATTGCATTTAAGTGCTGGTGGAAAACTGGCTTTTCACTGCGTTGATGTGGACAGGAGTTTTTTCCTCATGTTTGTCACAAACACTGAGGCTCGTTTCTCTCCATACAGGAGTCGTACGTCTGCTCGCTGAGTGTCAGAAGCATCTCGCTCACACTCTACAACTGGCTTTACTTTCAGAGCCATTCTGCTGCAGCTCAGTCTCTTTAAGTCATTCATAAAACTAAACCCGTGTTACCACTGGACACACACACACACACACACACACACACACACACAGTGACAGGCTGGTACCTTGTCAAGCTGCGAGACGACCTCCCACAGCAGAGCGTGCAGCACCGACAGCTCGCGGCCCAGGTCGATGTAGCCCTCAAAGCCTGGCGTGTTGGACAGAGTCTCTGGGTTGGAGATCTCCATCAGGAAACGCATCATCCCCGCCCACTCGTGCTCCAGAAAGTCATTCATAAAGGCCATGTACTCCTCTTTGTTTCCAAACCTGCGGAGGACACAGAGGCATCTTCAGTTCTCTCTCCATCCAACTCAGGTTCATTAATTTCCACCTCAAATAAAAAATCACATTCTTCAACCCTGGATCATAGTGACTGATGCGTTACCGTGTCCATCACTTTAATGCTGCAGCTGGTAACTACCTTATATACTTATACTGTGAAGTACTTTACATCCTGCTGCGTAACTGGTGGATTTCCCACCGGGATCAATAGAGTCTGATGGTTCTACTGGATTTGATTCATCTGATTCTGGAAAGGAACTGAAGTTATCAGGTACATGTAGTGAAGTAAAAAGTACACGGTTTGTCTCTGACGCCTTGTGAAGTCACAGTACATGGAAAGTATAAGTACCTCAAAAGTGTACTGGAGCACAGCGCTTGAGTACATGTACCTAGTTCTGTTCCAGCAGCTGCTCCCCCCCAAAAGAAGGCGGCTGTGTGGCACCCGTCGCCCTGCACATACTCACTTTGTGAAGTTGGCGAGGTTCTGGATGACCTTGGCGATGAGAGTGAGCGTTCGTGACGTCCGGTCATCAGGATACTCTTGCATCAGGTTGAAGAGCGACGGCGACATGATGGCAGGGCAGAGGAAGCGCAGGAAGAGCGAGGCACTGATCAGACGCTTGCTGATGTCCTGCTGATGTCCGCGAGCGGTGCACTGCTGCTTCCATGATGCAAACACTTCCTTCAGCTCCCGAGGAAACACACTAAGAAGACAGGAGGGAGCAGAGAGACTGCACGCTGACCGAACAATGTGGGAACAAGGATTGCTGAGAGGCTCCTCCCTTTGATCCAGGACTCAGAACTCAACTATTTCACATATGGTACCATCAGAACTGTGACACACGGACACTGAAAAAACCCCAAAGCTTCTAATTTAGCCTTAATTTTACCCTGACGACAAACAAAACATTGATATAAATCAAACTAATTTGAAACCCCTTAAAACAACCTTCATTTCACGGGGTGCACTATTTTTGCCTTAATTTAAAGATTAACAGATGCTATTGAGGTTAAGGGACTTTGGCTATTATGGCTCTGAAACCATTCTTACACAGTATTCGGGGGTTTAACAGGTTTATTCAAGGAGAGTAGTGAAGTAAGAACAGTGCTCTCGCCACGGCGCCCCGGGTTCGAATCCAGGTTACGTCAGGAAGGGTATCCAGTGTAAAACGTGCCAAATGTCAACATGCGAGTCGCCAGTGTGACGATTCGCTGTGGCAACCCCTAAAACGGGAAAAGCCGAAAGTCTATTCTATTCTAGTAAATAATGTATAAATGGATGATCTCTCTCTCTCTCTCTCTCTCTCTCTCTCTCGATATTTATAGGGTTATTAAGTAGTAAAAGCACAACAGTTTTCAGTTAGAGGGAAATTCAGCATGTACTCCACATTTAATTAATGGATTAATTAATAAACTGATCTATATTCACATATTTAGGGTTTGGAATCCTCATCTTGATTTTAAATTAAACCCCTGTCAATTTAATGTAAAATTGAATTTATATTTGATTTGGTCACTTGTTTGGGATTTTAACCCCTTAAAACAGCCCTAAGACACTCCAGATTAGCCTCAGTACATTATAATTCTTAATTTACACGTTCATAATTTCCCTAGAATCAATTTAAAATACCTTAATCACATCATTATGAACAGGTAAATTAATGGAATATTAAGATGAAAATATTTTATACATGCCTTCTTACGTTGTGTTATTCCTTCCAGTGAATTATTGAGGGGACAATTTTGTTCACCACAAAACGGTGAAAAATTAAATTGACTAATGGAGGGAAACCGTTCACAGTGGAACATGACCCGAGTTTTACAAACAACATTTAAAAGGTTTGAAAACCTTATATAAAAATACACACGTCATAATTCAGCAGTAAAAGCTCTGCCAGGAGAAGGTCACGTACATTTCCACAGGGGAAACTGATCAGTGAAGCTGGTGACTGTGATAGACCCACCTCACTCTGAACCATCACATCAACACGTTAACTGGTTATCAGTTGACGCTGGTTAAACGTGCTGGTCAGCAAACTGGAAGCTTCAGCTAATACCTGAGGGACCATGTGGAGCGACTGACTCGGTGCTGCTGGCACTGCTCTGTGGCAGCAGGTGGCAGAGTTGAGTCATATCACGCATGTCTGTGTCCCAGCTGCTGCTAAACGCTCAGGCAGTTTGCTGGTGTGAGCGGGTGCAGTCGTACCAGTAGGAGTTGATGATCTTGCAGAATGCCAGCTCGCAGCACATCTTCAGGTTGCTCTGGTGTTCAGCGAGGTCGCTGCTGGAGCATCGGCTGGGATCCACCTCACAGTTCTCGTCCGACTCGTACAGAGCTTTGATGAACTCACCTGCAGACAAAGACGCACATGCACTCACTGGCTACAGCTTGGCTGCAGCTTCTCAGTTTCTTTGTCCACAATGAAAAGGTGAAAGACACTAATGCTAGCAGAGATACAGGATGTTACAGTCTCGTAGTTTTAATGAGACCCTGTGACTGTTTAAAGCAGACTGGCATGAATCACAGACTCGTAGTTTTAATGAGACCCTGTGACTTTTTTAAGCAGACTGGCATGAATCACAGAGTGTGCTGAACGTGTGTTAATAATATCCGTCAAAATGAAATACCTTCATTAAAGAAAGCTGCAGAGGACACGTTACCAAATTGTTTTTCCTTGTTTTCACACGTGAATCCATAAATATAGTGACATTATTTGTGTTCCTGAACTTGGAAGTGTTTTTTTGACAACAGTAGTTTTACAGTAATGCCAGGCTGATGTGATGAGTTCGGGACGTCTGCTGGCTGACAGCAGGTCTCCTGGGTCTCCAACAGCTCTTGGTCTGTCACATTCAGCACAGTGTCTGAACTATTTTAAGCAGCTTCTTCTCTTGCTTTTTACTGCATCTCTGAGATGTTCAGCACATTAAAGCTGAGCAGAATGATTGAGGAGAAGAGACATCACATGCTCTAATTTTAGCATTAAACAGTTGACAAACTGCCAACAGACACACAAAGAGCAGCTGAGAGACTGACCGAGCGCGTCGTGCAGGTACTTCTGTCCCACCAGCTTCAGATACTCCTCGATGGCCTTAGTGGCCAACGTGTTCTCCCTGAAGATCAGGACATCGTGATCGGCACATCGGTCCACCTCTGACATCACCAGGTCTGTCAGGAAGTCCTACGCATGAGGAGGAAGACTTAATAAAAACCTGAGGTGAGGGTTAATCCCAGATTCTCCTGCCCACATGTCAAAGTGTCCTCAAGCAAGATAAAGAAATGCAGTGTTGTCCTGGAGTGTGTCACTGTGGGGAAATGTCTGTGCAGATTCTCAGTCATCCAGGTCGTAGTAAACTGAAAAAAAACTTCAACCGGAAATCTACTAGAAATCAACTAGAAGTCTAGTCCAGTTGATTTTTTCTAAGTTTTTTCAGTGTGGGGAAATATGACTCTCAAGCTGATTCCTTCTTCATGGACTCTTCACAGAGCTTTTATTTCACTAAAACGTTTGTATTCGTATCAAAGATGGTGTTGGAACTAGAAACTGTCTGGTCTAGGTTTTCCACTGGGATTTCTACACTTGCTTTTCGCTGCCAAATATAAAAGATGTAAAACATAAGATTTTAACCATCTACCTAAATTAATCAATTAATAAAGTGATTTATGTTTGTATCTCACCTTGAAAACATGTCAACGTGACGATAAACAGCTGTGATTGTTAAAACAGGATAGGATGTTAGAACTGCACGGGGCTAAAACCAGCAAACTAGTGCCTGTGTTGATGACATGATGAGGCCAAAACCAGTTTGTCTCAAGTGTTTATGATTTAAAAAAAAAAAAACAACAACTGAAAAGCTTTCTTTGCCACTTAACGCGCACATCTGAGATGGTCCCTGACATAACTTCACCGGGCAGGTAGCAGCTTAACATGAGGTCATGAGGGTAAAATAATGAATGTACAAACACCACTGCACAACACAACTGGAACAAGAGGATGAAGCCTGACCTTGGCCCTGCCAGTGCTCTGCAGGATGTGGACCAGAGCGCAGGCCATCTCCTCCTTGTTCTTAACACTGATGATGGGCTCCAGCACCGAGCACAGCATGGTGTAGTTGTTTGTGACGAACTCGGCGAACTCCTTGTACTGCTCCATGGGCAGGATCGAGATGGTCTGGAAGCGGGACTTGATGCGGATCGACGGCCCCCCTCCTTTGGCCTTGCTGGTGGTGGGCGTGCTGACCGGGTACCACTTCTCCACAAACTGCCGGCCCGTCACACCCGACACCGGGATGTTGACCAGGCCCACGTAGTTGTTCTTGTCCTTCTTCTTCTTCTTGTCCATGTCACGGTAAATGTGCACGGTGATGCTGTGCATGGCGGGCAGGCTGGAGAAGTCAAAGTACTCGCCCCAGAACAGGCTGTCGTGGCGGGTCTTAGTGGTGGTGCGGGCGTACAAGACGTCATCCAGACACAGCTCGCAGAAGTATTTCTTCTTAGGCGGCAGGTCTTTGGCTTCGATGATCCACAGTCGCAGCAGGTTCTCTGCCCGCCGACAGTTGTCCTGGAAACAAACTCACTGAGGTCAAAGACTTGTTTTCAAAACACCCAGACAGCGACTTAGGTTTGATTTCCAGAGCCCATCCAAAAACCTAATCTGGAGGCTATTTCCTGCATTTATACCAGAAATTTTTATACCTACAACTGAGCAAAGGGAACATTATGATAAAACGGCTTATACCATTTGGCAAACAATGGAAGTTTATCAAAAGATTAAGAAGAGCTGTAAACTGCTGCAACAATAAAGAAGCTACATTTAGAACAAATCTCAACCTAGAGCAAAACCACCCTGCAGCCAGAGGCTCATCATCATGTGCTACGTAGCACGTGATGATGAGCCTCTGTACAGGTGATCAGTACAGTGAAACACTGATGGTGCTACAGCTGTTTGAACAACTGTCTCAGACCCGGTTACTCAGGCGACAGAGCGGTGTCTGCACCAGGAACAGCAGTGCACAACTCTGACGTGAGCAGAGGTGTGTGGGCTTTTCTGCCCTGGTGTCACATGCACGTGATTTTATTGTGATAAACACAATGAACAGCTGTATGTTATGGTGCTGCTTTTTAAAGCAGCTTTGGACAACCTGGCAGTTGGGAACACAGTGTAACTGCAAACTGCAGGAGCGTTTAGTGTCACCACAGAAACAGCTTGTGGTCCTGTGGGTCTTACCTTGTTGGGCTGAATGGTCCTCCTCAGGTTTTCCATCCACTTGTCTCTCTCTGAGGCTGAGGTGCAGCTGAAACACTTGCTGCCACCTGAGTACGTCACCTGACAGGTGGGAGAGGGGAGACATGTGACCAAACACTGAATTAAAATAACCAACCACAGGGAGGCAGCAAGGAGACTTGTTGTTAGACACAGTACGGTGCAAATGTTTCAGGCACTGCAGATGTTTAGGTTCTTCTCTGTCATCCTGCAGCCCGACACTCAGCCCAGACCTCCACCAGAGGAACCAGGAGTCCTGCAGCAATGAGCCCTGATTCCAGCACCATGGAGTCTGTCTGGCATCACATGCAGAGACAGGGGTGTCACAGCAGGTCTGGTTTTGATTTGTTCTCTGTGCTGCACTGTGGATGGAGTTCACTGAGAAATACGAGGTATTCATGGCATGATTTCTGAACGCATCTGCACCGCGCGGTGCGACTCAGCACAGTCTTTGTAAACATGTAGGATGTGATGAGAATATGACAAACACAGGCCTTTGTCCCAGCAGACGTCCGACTTGTCACAGCAGGAAAAACACAGGTGTCCCAGTAAGACGGTGTGACACAGAGCCAGCACAAACAGCTGTCATTCAGTGCATTATTTAACATGTGCGTTTCCAACCATGACATGTCAAACTGTGTGATACAGGGCTACAGTATAAAACCATCTCGGTCCCTGTCCACCTGAGACCCTGTGCGGCCACAGGCTGTGTGAGAGTTCAGTTTCAGGCTGTTACCTCGAAGCAGAACTCCTGTCCCAGAACGCTGCTGTGCAGAGGTTTGATAAACACGTCCTCCTCCATGCTCAGGTCCAGAGCCTCCACCGCACTGCCCGGGCTCAGCAAAGACTCATGGGAAGTCGACTCCTTCAGCTTAGGAAGGCCGCGAGATCTGGAAGACAGGAAAAGAAAAGAAAAGCATTTGCTGTGTATAAGTTGAAAACAACATGCGAGAAAACAAAGCTAATCTGCCAGCAGGGCTGTTGCAAACAGCAGGAGTTTTTGGACACCACGACAATGCCACGGGATTCACCAGACTTCGCCCACAGCCGTCTGCTGCCAACAGTGAAGCAGGAGAGCAGTAATACCTACGAAAAACAACCACAAAGCCAGGTGAGGGGGGTTCCCCAGAGCATCCCTCCTCCTCCTCGACTCCCCACTGCTCCCACCGTCCTCCCACCTCGACCCTCCAGCAGACAGCAGCAGCTCCAGTCCCCACAAACACTGCAGAGCAGAGTGTTGCCTTTATCAATCTTCCCTGTAGCCCAGCAGGCGGTAAACAAGGTCCTGGGACAGCCAACCACAACAGGCCTGCGGGAGTGTTTCCACAGTAACTGCCTCTGCAGGGGGAGCGGGTGCTAGGCAGCGGGGCTCGATGCAGCGAGAAGCAAGGCAGGTTTAACTACAGGCCGGTCTCAGGAGGGAGACAAAGTTGTCACGGGCCAGCTGACAGACTGCCGCTTTATCAGCAGCAGAAGAAGAAACTTGGACAGAGCGCTTTCAAAATAATGTGACTAAAAAGCAGAGATCCATCTAGAGCAAACTCCAGAATATAAGTTCATTTTGTCATAGAAACACTAAATAAGTCCATAGATGGATCAGTGAATGGGCACAGACCCCGGGCCCCAAGTGGTCCAAGGAGAGCGTCTGTGTGAAGTGACTTAACATTTCTTATTGGAATGTCAGATAAATGGATGCAGATCTACCAAAAGATGCAAAACAAGCACAGAGGGAGAGAATGACTCAGGTCTGTGGCTCTTGCTCTAAAGTAGGTGAGTAGGGGCCCTTTAACACACATGTGCACAGGGGCCCACTGTCTCATAATCTACCCATAGTTGCAAATATGAGCCAGTTAGAAAATTAAATCAGCAAATACTGCGAAAACGGATTTAAATGGTAAATAGACTGTATTTATATAGCGCATTTTCCACAGTGTGTTGCACTGGCCAAAGCGCTTTACAGGAGATGATACACCATTTATTCTTAAAAGAAGAGCCTCTGTCTCAACAGTGGCACAGCCGCTCCTGTTTTTCATCCCTTCCTTTTTTACCCTAACTTTTCCCTGTAGCCAAACAAAGACAGAAACATTTGTTAAACTACAAATTTCAGATTTTCTGATCATCCAATCATTAGAAACACTGACTGATGAGCTTCAACATTTTATGAGGTGACACTGTGTGTGTGTGTGTGTGTGTGTGTGTGTGTGTGTGAGAGAGAGATCCTCCTGCTGTGCCAGATGACATGCGTTAACCCGGATTAGTGGGTTGAGAGCGACACCGATGCCGTCCCAGCATCAGGCCGCTTTCACTGACGGCTGTGAACACACCAGTCAGCTCTGCAGTTTCTTTAATTAATATCTCATAAATTCATATTTTATATTATTTTGTAAAACAATTCAAACCACAGGATAGTACGTTGTTGTCACTCCCGGTCTGTTAATGCAGGTGTCAACAACAACATAATGATATTAATGGGTGAGTGCATGAATGTAACACCTGAGCTATGTGAGGCTTCAGGGCTCTGCGAGTCTTCAGACAAATGTGGCAGGGGTATCACTGGGTTGTTAACTGAATTGTAGTAAAGAGCGAACATATTTCTGATACAAAATTTGTCTCAAATCTTTGGTTTTGTTGTGAAACCCTAAAAAGACCTTCATGGGTCTAAATTAGGCCACTGTGTCCATCATGTCTGAACTGACAGGCGTATTAAAATACAGTTAACACACAGATGTGCTCACATGCCTAAAAAGGGCAAGAGCAAAAACAGGAAGGCAGGGAAACAAAGTCAGCACATGAAACGTGGATTAACTCGACAGGGTCAGGACTGAGGCAGGGCCCGCCGCCTCCCCACTGCTGCCAGCCTCACACACCGTCTGCAACCTGTCCTACATTAGAAACTGTCCTTGTATGAAGAGCACAAAGTGACCCAGTGTCTCTTCTCCGTATTACTCATGTACATCATAGACTTCAGTGGATTTCTTGTTAAAGGGCCAATAACAATGAAAAGGCAAAGTTTGATTAGATAAGCTTGCCTGTTTTTCCCCAAATGCCTTCTGTTGGCTGTGTAAGGATCTGACGCTTCTCGTTACAGTCAACGTATCTGTAGGAATAATCTGACTATTCAGAGCATTCTTGCAACCTTTTGAGTTGTCCTTCTGATGTTTCTCAAACATCTGAGTTGCAGTGATAGTGGCATTACTCATTCGGCAGAACTTTTAGTACACTGGAATTGTTTGTATTAACATGTAATATCTCCTGACCTGCTTAATAAACCCCAGCACTATTCTATTTATTTATTAGCATGTTGAAGCCCCGTCTCGACTGCGGTAATGTGAATATGTAATTTTAACCAGAGCTTCTGTGTGAAGCACTCAGCTCAGGCCCAGTTATGTGTCTACGCTGAGTTAAACATGTTTATGCTTTTAAAGTTGTAATTTTATTAATTAAACCAGAAGAAAAAGTGCTGAAACAATGAGAACAAATTAACTCTGATGGATGAAACAGTGTTTTCAGTTGTTTTCTGATGGTTAACTACTGTAGATACTGCAGTATTACCACTTCAGGCTTCCAAACATCTAAAACTAGGAGGTCAATCTTGGACCAAACTGCCTACAACTCACACATCCACCTTTGATGGGGATATTTAGTCTGTACTAATGTGCCAAAAGCTGCAACTAAACACAGTCAACATGAGGGTTCAGGCCATGCAAACGTTCTTACACCTGCCAGAAAAGATGAAGAGAAGGATGCAAACACAGAAGCTGATTCTTGTGCACTGACACAGACAGTTTCCAAAGGGCTGGTCTCCTGCATTAGCATGGAAACCTGATCCAGTCCACTGTCAGAGGAAGCACTTACTGATCTCTGGCCACACATCATTTACAGACCAAGACACTGTGAAGCACAGTCTTGGTAAAATCCCTAACAAACACACTGAATTCAAACCAAAACAATCTAATAGACTGTTCAATTCAATCAGGTGTGATGAGCATCAGGGTTACCTGCTCCCTCTGTTGGCCAGCTTGTCTCATATTCACCACAGTTATCTTAAAACCTAATTATTCACACTGTAGTGTTGCATTTTAGATTGAGAGTGACAAAAGATCTGCATCGCCTGAGTGTGAGGACGTTCACACATTTCTTAGTGCTGCAGCGTAAAATGCTATTTTTAAAAACACGCTGCCATTTTGTCACTTCACTGTGATGTTTCAGCTTCGCTGTACAGAACAACGTACGTGCACAGTTTGTTTTCACATTCATCTGCGGTGTCAACCTCATCCAACAGCTTTGAGAAGAACTGGAGTCGGGCTTCATCAGCAGCATCAGTACTGATGCTCAAATGTGTCTGAATGGGAGCAAATCCCTGCATCTGGTTCAGCATCTGGAGGAAAGACTGGAGAGTTTCTCCTCTACAGCAGCGTGAACTGTGTGTACAAAAACTATGACAATGGATTTGTTGACAACTGATTTTCAGGTAAAGAAAAGAAAAAAACAAAACTAAACACAGATCAAAAGGCTAAAACTGAACTAACACTAAAATTCCCATTGTGTTACTGTATTTCTGCCTTCTCTGGTGGGGGTCAAGCTCCTGACTGAGGGGGTCAAACCCTCCCATAACCCACACACTGATTTCCGCTATGGCAGATGCTACCGTATTTACACAGATGTATCATTATTAAAGAGCTGTCTAACCATTATGTGCACCACAGTGTCGCATCTGGAACACGAATGATCTCTTTCCTCAATAAATATGTCACCACGCTCTGTAAAACACAGCAGTTACATTGTGATATCATTAGTATGCAAATTAGCATGTGACATCATACTGCGACTTTTTGAGCAGGATGATGTCCAGCTGTAAACATCTGGCATCACTGTTACTTGTACAGTGAGGATGTTATTTATACCATAGCCGGCAGGACTCGCCCCCACAGTCCTACCTGAACCTCAGGGTTTTGGAGAGCTGAGCTTTCCGAGCCCTCTGGAAGAGAGATGAGTCCATCAGCAGCGGAGCTCAGAGTGGACTGACAGAGAGGCAGTGTGCAAAAGCATTATCCTCCTGTGCAGCTGGCCGACGTTCTGCTGACTATAAAGCTGTACACACTCATTCTGAATGCATCCACACACACACGCATGTGTGTGTGTGTGTGTGTGTGTGTGTGTGTAGGTAGAGACAGATGGTAGGCAGAGGTCCATGTCAGGACACAGACAAACATTTCTAAAAACCCTCCTGCTCTCGTTTGTTCAGAGCCACAGGTCTGAGATGGTGATCAGTTTCTTCATCTCTGTGGGTCCAGTGCAGAAATAGACAGGGTTCTGCACCAGGACCGGTGCCTGGCAGGAAACCCACAAACACTGTGTTTGTATGTTTTGTGGGGGTTTTATTCCTCTGGTGGTGCACTGCTCCCTTCAGGCTGGGACTGAGTTGTCTTGTTCACAGTGAGAGTAAAATGGTGTGCGAGACCGACAGGTGGATTGGTGCAGTATCAGCAGTCACTGTACCAGACCGTTGTGGTGAAGAGGGAGCTGAGTCAGAAGGCAAAGCTCTCAATCTAACAATCTATGGTCATGACCTCTGGGTCGTGATTGAAAGAATGACACTGTTGATACAAATGGCTGACATGAGTTTCCTCTGTAGCACAGCTGGATTCAGTCTTAAAGACAGGGTGTAGAGTTCAGACATCCAGAGGCAGCTTGGAGCAGAGCCGCCACTGCTCCGCACTAAAATTAGCATCTGATCTGGATGCTGCCTGGGCACTTTGTTCTGGAGGTTTTCCAGGCACATCCACCTGGCAGTAGCTAGATCCAGAATATGATGGAGGGATTATATATCCCACCTAGTCTGGGAACACCTTGGGGTCTCCCAGGTAAAGATGGAGAATGTCGCTGGACAAAGGGATGTCTAAACTGCTGGGCTGAACCGGCAGCCCCCCTCCAACCCAACCCCGGACAAAGCGGTAGATAATGGATGGAACATTCATAGGTAAGTGTAAACCTGAAGTAATGGCCACATCATAGCTGAAGTTTCCAAATCAGATTCTGTTTCCCTCCAACTGATATTTGAATATGTAACGGTAAACCAGTCACTGCATGGATTACTCTTTCTTTTAATATTCGAAGTGCATTTTCATGATCATACTCAAATACTTTTACTTAAATCAGAGTTTCAAAACAGGGCTCTGACTCGTAATAAGTCATTTTTACTTGTGGCATATTAGTATTTTCACTAAAGGACAACAGTACTTCCTCCACTACTGGACCTGAGAGGCACTTTGTGGCAGATTCAAGTTTACCAAAGATAACTTGTTGCATTCCAGAAGTTTTTCAGGTAGGAAAGATGAATCTAGGAATTACATAGAAAGGCATGTGTGGTAGAAAACCTTAGATTTCACATTCCCAGAAAAACACAAACCCATCAGCAGAGTGAAACCGAATGTCATGCAACAAGAGAGGAAAGCTAGTCTTCCAGTAAAACCCCCTCCAGTCTGTGCTGGGAAGGTTGGACCAGCTAATGGACCGAGGAAGATGAGGAGGCGAAACCCACAACCGCCTGTAAGCAGAGGAGGAAGGAGAGCTGGGAAAACTGCTGGAGAAACCTCCATCCCTCTTCTGCACATCTGTGCTGCAGATTAAATCCTAAGTGATATCTGAGAGTCACAACATTGGTGACTCAGACACACAGAGACAAAGCTTCATCACCGGAGGGAAGACAGACGAAGCCGAACCAGGACAGGAAATTAAGCTTTAACATTAGAGAGCTGCACAGCTGAACAACATACAGCAAACAAACTCACACTGCATGTTGTGCTTCACTTTCACAGCTCAGAAACACACACTCTCTTACACATAATAAGGTGACATGTTTCCCATCCAAAGCCATCAGTCTGAAACGGTCAAACAGATTAAACTCAGATAACCTGTGAGATGTCTGGCCTGAACAGGTTCACTGCAAGTCATCCACCACCTTCACACAGGCCAAGGCCCTGACCACAGGTCTGAGCTGTCAGCTACGTCTGCATTCTAACCAGCATCATAAATGTTTTCCACCCATTAGTTCTGTGGTCCATGCATGAAAATATCTCCATACACTGACTTCGTCATAAACCCTTCATTTTCCTGGTTTAGATAAGATAATCCTTTACTGTCACTGTAACACGTACAGCGAAATTTTAGAATTAATTCAGAAACCATCTGATCAAAGAATGAGAGAAGACAAAACAGAGCTAACACCACACTGAATGTGATGCCAACAAACTTGCCTTCACACTGGCCAAACACTGAAAGTTAAACCGCTGGAGACAAGACTTAATATTGTACCACATTTTTAGCTCTTCCCAGCTGTGGAGAACAATAATGGGTAATGACAATGAACATGAGCAGGACCTGGATATGCAGCAGAATGGATGATGACGTCCAGTAGGGATGGGCATCTCAAGCTTAAATGCTATTCGACATTCGTTGGGAACTATATGACAAATATTCAAAGACCACTGACCCCGCACTCACAAACCAAGAAAAAAAAGAGCAACAAAAAATATGTGACAGTTTAAAACCTTCCTGAATAAACTGAAGTCCCTTCACTGTCTCACCACCAGCCGGGGCCTCCATCAGTCCACCAGCAGCTGTCCGACGGGCCAGGCATCTCACACACAGTAAATCAGCCAGTTACCTGATGAGTTTCAAAAGGAGAAGAGCAGCTACCTGTCGGGCTCAGCAGGCCGGAGCGAGGGCAGTCTGAAGCTGGCGTTCCTGTCTAGTTTGGTCTGGCTCTTCGTCCTCTTGATGGAGCCTTTGAGACGTTTACTGAAAAACCCCTGAGGAACAAAACAGACAGGACACCAGAGTCAGTCACTGAGGAGTCAAACAGGGCACCAGCAGAGAGAAAGATCATTTAACAGATAGGTCTTCAACTGGTGTATGGGGGAGAAACCAGTTTGTGGTGGAGGAAGAGGAGGGTGATTCTTCCTCCTCCTGTCCTCAGGAGTGTAATGGCAGCAGTAAGGCCGTCCACCAGTGTAAACACTGACTGAGGAGGAGGAAGTAACTGCTGCTGTGAAACCGCTAACGCACCTTCACTGAGGTTACACCTTCTGCAGGTCCAGACATTCACTGCGGGGATAAAACTGAGGATGTTACACTGAAAGCTGCTCATTACACAGTGGTTCTTTTGGTGTGCCAGTGACAACCCACCCCAGTGAGCCACGCCGCTGAACTGGCTGACACAATTAGCCCTCAGGAAGCACATGAGGCCCGTCTGTTTCCAACAAACAGCTCCACAGGCTGAGAACAGATCTGACTTTATACAGAGTCGCTAGTCTCTGCTCTGATCACACTGCTGCACCAGCTCCTCACGCTGCACAGAGCAACATGTTAGAGCTGTGTGTTGGAAACAGACGGCCTCCCATGTTTCCTGAGGAGGAAACCTGCCCCCCAGTGCAGCGGTGTGGCTCACTTGGGGGGTGGGGGGGTCTAATAGCTGGTGGACAACAGTGGAGGTCTATGGCACAGAGCGATAAGGTGGACCAGGGTCTGGACTCACACATATTACGGTGAGGACACCATGTTCACTGGGGCTGCTGGTCTCTGGACGAGGTTGGTGGGGAAACAAAAAAACAAAATCAGCAGTTTTATTTTGTAACCAATGGCACAAAGAGGCAGAGTATTTAATTTACGAATCACTGACACCGACTGTTAACCAATCACTGTAGATGTAGTGAAGAAATGAAAGTTGAATCTTCTTGTGTCACCAGCTTTGTTGAAGAGTTTTCCAGAACCCACACTGATGACCATGACAGTGGTTTGAGCCACGGAGCCTCCTGCAGGTCAAACATTGGCCTGAGGACTCACCTCTCTGAGTGCCATCATCACACCTGATGGATGAATACGACTGAACGCAGCAGGCAGTCTGTGCTCATCACGACAGCCAGCCATGTGAGAGCAGCCTGGGCTGGTCACATGACTGGCTCTGATCAAACCATTAGGCTCGTCCTCACCTGCCACATCCTCCGAGACAATAAAAGCAGAGCAGAGCGGAGGGAGTGAGCGGCCTCATTTCCTGAGATATAAATATCATCCAACACATATCTGTCTCCCCCCTCCTCACCCTCCTGTCCTCCCCCACAAATTCCCTCCCGGCTCATTGGCTCCAATTAACACATCAGAAAACAGATCCATCCTGCCAGAGACTGTGACACTGCAGAGGGAGGGAAACATCCAAAACACCTCCACAGGCTGCAGCGCTCAGCACACGCCTCCATCAGTTATTGATCACATCTCCATGGACCCGTGAACAGCACTGACTGCTGCAGGTACTCATGTTCCTGTCATCACTTTACCAGTGACTCCTAGGCTGAACTCCCAGCATGCTTGTATTTACTGTAGAAGAATCAGTCAGAAGAAACTGTGGGATGTTAAAAATACTCTGTCACCTGAGAGCTGCCTGTGAAGCTTCAACACAAAGACAAGAAGTTACAGTGCAGCTTTGAAGCTCAAGCTGCAGCAAAATTTTATGGCTGATACCTGCTCTGCTCAGTGATTTTAATCTCAGCCAGAGTGTGAGGCACAGCCCCGCCTCAGTAATAATTACAGCCACAATGACCACAAGAGACCCGTGTGGGAGCCAACATGATAATGGAGATAATAAAGGTCATCAGGAGAACAAGGCCCTGTTAAGTGCTCATCGATATGTTGTAATGTCAGCTACCCTGGACAGGTAAATAGGTGCTGCTGTTCTCTCTGAGCCCTGTGTGTTTAGCCTGCATTAACCAGCAGCAGCAGAATGAGCAGTGGCAGCTGCTGTGTGCAGCGTCTCCGTGTCACTGCATCACCGTGACACTGAAGGAAACAGAAACAGGAGGATTCTCAGGCAGGTTCTGTAGTTTCTCCTCCTCTGGTTTCTATGGGGGTTTATGGAGGTTTGTTCTGTGGGGACTTCAGGGATGACGAGATCCTCAGGAAGTGGACATCACACCGAATCAGATCGTGTGTTTCATGTCTGTGTGGTCACATTTTCCTCCGTTAGGACTCTGAGGAGTTTGGACTCTAATCCACCTTCTGGGGAGACTTTTGTCTTCCTGAGTGTGAATGTCCATGTGTGTCACAAGAAGAGTAGTGTGGTGAGCAGACACTGAATACTAGGCCCTGGCCATGGTAAGGTAGTGCAAAAAAAAAAAAGAAAAAGACAAAATCAGGACTGAGACCTGACTTCAAAATGTCAGTTACATAAATAAACTGTGGAAGCTTAGTGTGCAGTAATCCCCATGTCTTTTTTACAGACTGGCGTGTCACCAGGATTAAAATCCCATCCAGGACGATAAGATTTCATTCCCCATGTGATGTTAATCCTGACTGAACGGGGCCTAATTCTGCTTTTCTTAAAATAAACTCTGAAGAGTTTCCTTTCAGAAAATGCAGAGATCACAACTGAACTCAAAAAAGGTTCAAGGATTTATTTTAAGAATTGTATTTTTAGGCTTGTGAACAAAAACGTTGCAAACAGGTGAATCTGTACTGAGTTTGTCTCATCAGCTTCATGAAGGACGTGATGATTCTTATAGAAGCGCATTGCATTCACCAAAGAAAATAAATTGGGAGGATGGTATCTCATAATTATGAGAAAATATCTCAGAACTACAAGATCTTTTTCTTAGTTGGAAAGCTGCAGAATGTGCCTGAAAATCAAATTATCATTCTTTAGTATCAAAGTAATTCAGTGATAGTTGTCAAAACCTCCAATAGTGCATAGGAAAACTGAACTGTTAATTCAGCGTACTTAGTGTTCCAAAATGTAAACAAAGGCTAAAATATAGGATAAAAACGGGTCCAAGCTGCAGCCCACGGTAACTCATATCTATGGCAACACTAGCTTAATAAGGTGTTTCTTGTAAAACTATGATCTGTGCACATGAATGAACTTTTACTGTTTAATGTGACATCTGACAAAATACAATGCAATAAGTTTTTTGAAAAATGGATATTTCAGCTCATATTCATTATAGATGGACCAGTAGTCTGTAGGATCTAGGACACTGGATCCAGACAGTTAAATCAGCCTATAAATGCCTCTGCCTTCTTGAACAGCAGCAATAACAGGCTTTTACAATATTATAGATCTCCTAATTATGGCAAAGCATTAAATGTTAATAGTCATGTGAGCAGACATAATCTGCAACAAGAAACGGGAAGTAGGCTACAGGCTGCGTAATGTTGCCATGGATACAGTGTGTTACAATGTGGGTGCTGTATTTAGCAGGGCTACAGGCCTATTTGTTTACATTTTGGGACACTAAGTACGTTGAGTCAGCTATTGGCAGTTAGTTTTGCTACCTAGTCTAGTGTTGGATGTGCTCTCAGAATTATGTAAATAGTTTACTGAAGAAATCTTAAAGACTCAGTGTTTCTCAAGCAGATTTTGAAGCTTTCCAGCTCCTGCTCAGTGCATGTATAGGCCCATAGTTACACTGTAGGCAGCGACTTTGAGGCCCGTCTATATTTGTTTATTGTATATTTTGCAACACTAAGTGTGCTGAATTAGTTAAACAGTTCACCTTTACTCTGCACAATTGCATGTGCTGACAACCATCATGAAATTGCTCTGATACTAAAGAATTCATAAAAATCTGATGATTTTCAAGCAAGTTCTGCAGTGTTATAACTGCATCATTTCATAATTACAAGATAAGGTTCTCCATTTTTTTCCTTTGGTGAATGCAATGTGCTTCCATAAATTCTGCCTGATACTTTTTCATCCACAATCTAAGACCAGCACACTGCGCTCTTCCAGCTCCCTCACACTGCAGCAGATGGCGTGAGCACACTGCTGTAGACGACCTCTATAAGCTGTGAAATATCCATCACAACACTTGAGAGAGAAGCCGAGTCATGTTTGGACTCCTGGCAGCTGAAGATGAAATGTTTGGAGACACCAGACGACTGACTGGGAACACCACATGCGGCCGCACGCCAGCTGCCTGCGGGTTTAGCTCCACATGCTTACTCATATCCAATCGTGCGTTAATCTGGTTACGAGCATCATGAGTCTGGTGCTCCTGGTCCAATCGCTAGATGATCAATTATACTGATGTTGCTTTAATTGAGTTAAAATCTAATCCTGTGTAAATGCACAGTGACTCTGTGTCTAACATGAATTACACAGCATCACTCTCTTACTGACTGCAGAGCCCAAACTCCATCTGACCATTACTTTTCAGTGAGGCAGTGCTTGACTGTGAAGTGGAACGCTCACATCTGATCATGTCTCTGTCAGAGGCTGCTGATGAACAACCAAGAATGGGGCTCCCTAGTTAGGGAGAGGCTCCCATAGCCAGTTCTAAGTTACTCTGGATGGGATTTGTGCAAACTAACACAAACTGAGAAAATCACCGGCTGCATCCTTTAAACATCAACAACAAAGACATGAACACTGAACAACTTTCAAGTGCTGGATCACACACACTGGACCTATGAGGGCACAGGCACCATCACACAGTTTTGTCGCCGTTGACATGATGTGTACAGTGTATGCACATGTGGACATCTGTATGTGAAGGGTTGGTGAATTTTGTCCTGATCTGTTTTATTTATTTTTCTAATTGTTTGGATTGTTTAACAATGATTTCAAAGCCTAACCAGGGACGAGGCTGCAGCTCCAACTAGACGCCCTGAACGCACTGCCTGTCTGCGACGATGTTCTCTATTTGTCCCTGTAAAATCAACAATAAATAAAAACAAACCTTTTCAATGTTGATAGGGACACCTGCCTTGTGCGTTACTCACCGGCACTTTAAAGGGTGAAGAGTTTGGATTGTCGGCGGTGCCGCTCTTCTCCGAATTCCCCAAACCTGAGATACTCCTCCTCCTCGGGGACCGCTCCGATGACACTTCTGCAGACAGACGCACAAAGACAGCAAGTTAAACCCAAACAGCCTCTTCCTCATCTGTGCAGCCATCCTCATCACCAGCCGGGGAGCTCCAGACCAAACCAGACGGACAGAGGGCATGAGACAGACACAGTGGAGGATGTGGAGGATGCCTGGACAGGGACAGGTGGTGTGTTTGTTTAATGGCAGCTGGCTTCTGTGTCTTCAACTAGCTGCAGACAGCACCGTTCACCCTCTCTGACAATGTAAATGTTGCTTCTTATCAAACATCAGTAACTCCTGTGAGCAGAGACCGGCACTATCTGGCTTGAGGGTTAGCCCATTTGTCTAACAAGTTCAAAGACCTACACACGAATAGGCTTGTGTTCTGATATGCATACAAAACAAGAGTAAACATTTTTCACATTAATCATCATGTTTAGCAACAGCGAGTAACTCGGCTACTGCACCTACAACAGCACAATAAAACAGTCAAGGTCCATTCAGGCCAAGTAACGGTCAGATAACTTCAATTCAGTGCAGTCTCTGGATCAGCGCTGCCACTCCCAGAGAAGAACACAAATCAGTTTGTTCGAACTGTGAGTTTACGCAGAGTCTCTCTTGGAAAAAAAGATTTTATCTCTGCCAGGCCTGTTTAAATAAAGGAAAAGAAACTTTGCCATTAACCAGTAGCAGGCAGTCCACACAGTGTGGACCTCTGACTGATCGGAGAGGCCGTTAACTGGCCGGCAGCAAGCTGCTGTGGCTGCTGAGAGCTAGCATGTGACTGGTTAGGTCGCCAACTAGTCCCCCAAACCCCGTTCCAATGACTTCAACAGCAGCATCTGATGACTGTCAAAGTGAGCATCTTTGGGTCCTGAACTGTTGGATGGACAAAGGTCAACAAGAGCAGAAATCACCTGGGGGTGTGGGGAATTCTAACAAGTAATGATTCATCAACTGATCAAGAAATAGGATCGGCAAATTGACAGATAATAAAACAATCATCAGTTGTGGCCCTAAATCCAGGTCACTGATTTGCAACACTGTCCACAAAGATACAACAGGGGTCGCTAGATGGTTTTAATTATGCATCACACCTCCAGTCACTTCACTCCTAAGCTTAATGGACCCTTGCTGGCACCTTGCCTCTGAAGTCAGTTTAAGGTAGCTGTTAAAAAAAATGACAAAGTGCAGAATTTCTTATACAAATAAAAAATTTAACTGTGTTTATAATGCAAAAGTACATTGTTTTACTTTCCAATCAAAGCTTTCAATTGTTCTCTTTCAGGAGTTTGGAGACATGGACAAACAGCTGCTAGAGGATCCTGAATCAATCCTGTTCAGACTGAAGCGGGCAAATCAATGACTCATTCAAATCCAAGTTTGGCTGCTAAACACTGGCACAACACCGGTATCAGTCGTCTCTCAGTGGAGAGTCAACAGTTTTCAGCTCGTTACTAAACCAGCAGCTACAGGGAACATGTGGACCTGACTTGATGTTTAAATGGGATGAAACAGAGAGCAACGTGCAGCTTTCTGCCATAGGAAACATGGAGTCGACTGTAACGGAGCCACAGTGAACGCAGCATGCAGCAGCAGCCAACACTCATCAGCTCTTTGCAAAGTGCTGGATCAAATTCCAGCTGCAGGAGGAAGCACGCTGCACGCAAGCAGCGCTGCAAGAAGCCGGGGGGGACAAAGTTCCATGCACACCCCCTATACCACCCACCCCGGCGTGTCCTTCGCTGCTGAGACAAAGTTGAGGCAACATGCCGCAGGAAGTCAGGTATAACAGGTCAATCACTTGACACGGACAGAAACAGAGAGAGAGAGACAGAGAGACGGAAGATGGTACCTCGATCGCAGCTGTTCCCCATCATCTGAGGAGAGGACACACAGAGTCAGACGGGATTGGCCGAGGCAGCCGCCACCTGTCAGCCAATGAGGTTAACCTGCAAATATCCGTCTTTGTCCCGTAAACATCCTCGACTTTGGCGTCCCCCCTGACCTGCCTCTCCCTCCTCAGCTCCGCATCTTCCTTCCTCCTCCTCCTCCTCCTGGTCCCTCCTCTCCCATCTCTGCCCTGTTCCCTCTCTCTCTACTCAGCAGTAATTCTAACCCTCTCTCTATCACCCTCTCTCTCTCAGAGCACTGTGGCTTTACTGCATTTATTCAATCAATCCCTCCAACTGCACTGCTCTGCTTTCTCTCTGTGCTCGTCTTCCTCGCAGACACTCCTCTGTCTCTGCAGCTGCCTCTCTCTCTCTTCTTCTCATCCTCCAGAGCTGCATTTATCGCCACGCTCGGAGGATAATTACTAAATAAGTTTCCCTTCAGTCGACTGATATAGGACACAGCTCTGGGGGCTTCAGCTGTTAACTGCGTGTGTGCTGTTCAGCCAAATCACACACAAGCATCACATCAGAGCTGCAACAAAACTCGACTTTAATTATCATCAGGTGTCAACATGTCGAACACTGGTAACAAATACCCAGCAAAGGTTTTCAGAGAACAAAGACATTCACCAGACTGGAAACCAGCCTCGACTCCTGGGAGCCACTGCTGTTCCTGAAACGGTTCCAGGTTGGTGCTAGTATACCAGTTTTCCTGTACACCCCATTGAAACACTGGTAAGACTGGTGCTATTGGTAAGAGTGCTACTGACTATGTCTGTTGTCATCGTTACTACTGGATACCAGCTCTGGCATCCTGATTCAATTCTAATTCACAAAGTCCAAAATCCTTTCAATGTGGTTTTTAATGGTTCTGATAGATCAGATGCAGGAAGCTCCTCTCTGAATTTATCCTGGAACTTCTATGTACAGTATATATAAGAAATAGATTTGAGATGCAGCCAGTGTCTGAACAAACTATTGGTACATCCCAATTCTCTTATTTGATCATTCCTCCCTCCCCATCCTTGCTCGATCAAGATGTCGTTCCAGTCCACCATCTTGAAGAACGTCCCAGAGCTCTTATTCCTGCTCTGAGGAACGAGGAGGCTTCTGGGGGAGCCAGGAGTGAGGACATCCTTTGTAGAAGTGTTTTATGGACTGACACGCCCCTTTGTCAGAATTCAGTCGGTGATTAGAAGTTTCAGATGAAGGACTGGAGGAAAGGACATCTCATGTCTGCATAAACCCGTTTCCTCGACTCTGCTTTCTTGGCATCAGGCAAAGACAACTTAGTGCATGTAGATGCAGTTAAGGGAATTGGGATGTGCCCTTAATGTACAGCTGTGTTACACTTCTGCTGCACTCGGTCCAAGAAAAGGAGGGAGTGTCACCATTCCAACATGTAAAATTAATAAATATTGATCAGACTGATGAGAAGCAGTGTCTGAGAGCAGCACCTGAAGTTTGGCTGAGTAATGCACTGAACATTAGGTCCATCTAGAATGGCAAGTTCTGGGCTTCTGAGGTTTGCTAGGAGTCATCATCGACTATTCGCAGGTGGGGTGGCGGGGTGTTGGTTTGTAGCTCTACTCTTAGGGTTATCTAGTGTTACCAAAATCAATTAAGGTATTACTGGTCCTCTGTTGGTTCTACCACAACGCTAAGTTTGGAAAAACGTGTCTGATAGCAAAGGAGGCTGTAGACGGCCGCAGCACAACAGTCTCATTTTGATGAAAATCAGCTGTCTCTCAGCCTTACAGTTTAAACACCATTCCACTATGACTTCTTGATCCAGGAGTTCTGAATCTGTGAACATTTCATCTTAGGTTTGGTCTCGTGCTACTTTCCAGTAGGAACCAATCAGTGACGTGCGGTCAGAGGAGGCAGAGCCCCCCCTGTCAATCTTGAAAACAAAAAAAAAGTTAACCATAAAATATAATAAATGTTAATATTTGTCGGCTGGTGTGTGTTGTAGGCCCTTTTGCTGTTCGAATCCGATGTTGAAGGATTTTTTTTCAATAAAGAATAGCAGACTTTCGTATGTCCCGTTCAAATACATGGAGGAGATGCGCGATGAGGCAGCACTTTGCTGTGCCTCTCGGTGGATCGTGTAATCCTCACAAACTGTATGCGATGCAAATAGTGTGTCGCTGTCCCTCTATATATCGCAAATAAAATGCTTTCAAACACTCTGATTATATGCTCTGCCTTGCCATAATCTGGATAATGTATAAAATGTAGTTCTGTAACGTGTTTAGGCTCGTAGATTAACCATAAAACCCAGTAAAACAGTTACTCGGTGAGGCAAACAGTACGCCTGCCTCAAGGCAGAGGGCGCTAGTGAGCCCACAGATTCTTGCGCTACCTACAATATCTTCTTCGTGCTTGTTTATTTCCTTTACAATCCGCCTTATCAAAATGGAAGATTACATTTCCAAGATGAGAAAATTCGCAAATCTGGACTTTCAATCAAAACATTTTTGACAGTCTGGACATTTTTGTCCAGAAGGATCTTCTTTATTAAAAACATTTGTTTTAATATTGGATTCGAACGGTAAAGGGGTTTGTAATACATACCAGCTGACAAATGGATGTCGTGTACAAGTAAAGGTAAGACCATAAACTTTTATTATTTCTAGTTAGAAATAAGCTCAATTGGAATAAATTTTAACCTCAAATTAAATACGGGTCCAGTTTGTGTGAAGAATGCTGATATGAGACAATTAACAGACAATTTATATTTGTAAATCTGACTGTAAAAAAGTCAGTGCCTCACCAGCTGTCAACCTCACCGCACGTCACTGGAACCAATGGGCTTGGAGCTGAGGGCTACATACAGGAGGTCACAACATGTTGTTGATGTTAGAGAGACACACGCCTGTGTGCATACAAGGTCCCACTGCATGTCAGGATAAAACCTCAGCATGAAGTACAGGGAGCTCTCCGTAGACCTCTGGGATCAAGCTGAAGGGGTCTGAATACTTTCTGAAGCCACAGTACATTGGTCACAACTCATAAATGATGTGCTTAAATATAAAACAGTATTAGTTGTTTTTAGTCACCAAACCCTGGCATCTCTCAGGGTCTGATGGATTTTCAGATCTAATAACAGTGTGTTGTGAGTCA